AAACACTGAGTTGAATATACAAAAATCCTGAGTTCACAATGATATATTGGTGAGGGACAGAGAGAGACAGGGGCAGAGAGGACAGAGGGAGAGAGAAAAAGACCCTAGTTCATCCCCCAACAACACGATAGAAAACCAACTCATTGGACATCAGCGGAGATCACTGAAGCATCAGCTTCGTATGGAGAGACTTGATAATTAAAAAGAAAGAATTAAGCATTTATCTTGCCTTCTGGTACAAACAGCGTTCAGCTTAACCAAGTCATCTTATTTGAGATGAGAAAGTTGTTCGAGATGGAAGAATCTCAGCTCATTCTGTGGAAGGATTAGGAAGTCACCAAATGCAAGCCTCAGCACCTCTTCAATGTCTGCAGGGCCCCCCCCAGAAGGAGGCCCCTGGGTGACCAGCTGGTGAGGAGCTTCAAGAGGAAGGATTCACCATCACCACCTGGAGCCCGGGTGCAGCTTTCGTCACGGCGGTGGCGAGCGCAGTCTCTGCCTCCTGGGGAGACAGGGTGTGAAGCTCACAGCACCTGCGTGTGGCTGGGTCCAACATTAACAACACTGCAAGAGCTCACCTCCGTTTACAGGAAGCAGGAAGGACCCAAGGACTGGCTGATGACACCACAGGAGGCAAAAGGCACATCTGGGGTTGGGGGCAGCCGACGGCCAACCTACCCCATCCCTCTAACAACTTACCCCATCCCTATAACATGTCGCTGGCAGGAAACACGGGAGATGACTCGGACTGGAGACTTGGGGACATAGCTCCCAAGTACCACGTGGGTCCTGGGTCGAAGTCACCACCATGAAAAGGCATTTCTGAGATAATTTGGGACATGTGCTAACGGAGGCACTTCAGATTCCACCCAGAGACCACTGCTGGGTGTGTGGATGGGATAGTGACACTGGGGCCCGCAAGAAAGATGCTATGCTCTTGAGAGACAGACTGAAGGGGAGGAGGGAGTGACGCAATGCCTGGGATTTGCTGGAAAAAAAATAAAAAATAAAAAGGGCTACCTGTATATGGATGGCAAGAATTTCTTAGGTAACAAAAGCACAGCCAATAAAAGAAAAAATAAATACTAAAGTAGATGAAAATGTAAAACTTCTGCGTATCAAAGGGCACAATCGACAGAGCAAAAAGGCAGCTAAAGAACGGGCGGAAATATTTGCAAATCATGTATCTGGTAAGGGGTTAATACCCCGAATGTGCAGAAACTCTCAGAACTCAACAACAGAAACCAAAATCTAACTTAAAAACAGGCAAACTGGCCGGGTGTGGTGGCTCACGCCTGTCATCCCAGCAGTTTGGGAGGCTGAGGTGGGTGGATTACTTGAGGTCAGGAGTTCGAGACCAGACTGGCCAACATGGCAAAACCCCATCTCTACTAAACTTTCAAAAATTAGCCAGGCGTGATGGCACGTGCCTGTAATCCCAGCTACTCAGGAGGCTGAGGCAGGAGACTTGCTTGAACCCAGGAGGCAAAGGTCGCAGTGAGCCGAGATCACGCCATTGCACTCCAGGCTGGGTGACAGAGACTCCGTCTCAAAAATAAGTAAATAAATAAAATGGACAAAGGACTTGAATGGACATTTCTGCAAAGAAAAGATACAAATGGCCGACAAGGACTTTTCTGAAAAGATGTTCAACACCACTAATCACTGCGAGAAAGGCAAATCCAAACTACAACGGGACACCATCTCACACCCGTTAGGATGGCCACGATCCTAAAACAGAAAGTAACGATGCTGGTGAGTATGTGGGGAAACTGGAGCCCTTGAACACCGCTGGCAGGAAGGTAAAGTGGTGCAGCCCCTGTGGAATATGGCACGGCTGCTCCTCAAAAGGTTAAACATAGAACGAGCACGTGAGCCAGCAATGCCACTTCTGCCTCTGTGCCCGAAGGAACTGACAGCAGGATCTTGAAGAGATATCTGCACACCCGCGTTCACGATGGCAGCACTATTCACAATAGCCAAGAGGTGGACGCAACCTAAGTGTCCACCTACAGATGAATGGATACACAAAAGGGGGTGTTTCCATAGAATGGGATATTTATCATTCAGGCTTAAACCAGAAGGAGATTCGGATGCAACAACATGGAGGAACCTCGAAGGCATTACACCGAGAGAAATAAACCAGGCACAAAAAGACAAATACTGCAGAATTCCACTGATCTGAGGTCCCTAGAGTGGTCAAATTCATAGGGAGAGAAAGTGGGATGGTGGGTGCCAGGGGCTGGGGGAGGGGATGGTGATGAGTGTTTAATAGGGAAGAGTTTCAGTTCGGGAAGATGAGGAGGTTCTGGAGATGGATGGTGGCGATGGTGAATGGAAATGTACTTAAGGCCACTGAAATGTATACTTAAAAATGGTTAAGATGGTAAATTTTACGGTATGTGCACTGTACTACAATTTGAAACATAATAAAAAGTATAATTGTAAGAAAAAAAAAAAGGGGGAGGAAGTGAATGGAGCAAATGGGCGCTGCGATCTCTTGGAGGCCAGCTCTCCACAAGGTCTTCATAAACCCTCTGTCATGCTCCTCCGTTGCTCAAGGGCCTCCAATGGCTCCCCATTGCCCTGGGCCTTGCCACAGCCTGAAAGGCCCCGTAGGGCTTGGGTCCCGCCCCTTTTTCTGCAGCATCCACCCTCTCGATGTTCCAGAAGACACCGAGTCCTTCTCTGGTCCAGGCAGGGCCTTGCACTCACCACCCAGGTGCACAGCCCACCGCCACCTCAGCTCTACCCTCCTCTCCAGGTCTCAGCCTAAATCCTTCCCCTTGAGGAATCCTCCCTGACCACCCTGTGGACAAAGGCGTGGTCTCTGCCCTGTAGCTTCACAGCATCCTTGTGTGTGTGTGTGTGTGTGTGTGTGTGAGAGAGCATGTGAGTATATGTGTGAGCATGTGTGAATGCACGTCGGCACATGTGTATGTGTGTGTGTGAATGTGAGCCTGAGTTTATGAACATGTGCATATGCAAGCATGTGTGTTAGCATGTGTGAGCATGTGAATATATGTGTGAGCATGTGTATGTGTAAGCATGTGTGAACATGTGTGTGAGCATGTGTAAGCATGTGTGTGAGCATATGTGAGTGTGTGAATGTGTGAACATGTGAGCATCTGTGTGTGTAAGCATGTGTGTACGTGTGTGTGCATATGCTAGCATGTGTTAGCATGTGTGAGCATGTGAATATATGTGTGAGCATGTGTATGTGTAAGCATGTGTGAACATGCGTGTGAGCATGTGTAAGCATATGTGTGTGTGAGCATATATGTGAGTGTGTGAATGTGTGAACATGTGAGCATCTGTGTGTGTAAGCATGTGTGTACGTGTGTGTGCATATGCTAGCATGTGTGTGAGTGTGTGAGCATGTGCAAGGGTGTGTGAACATGTGTACTGGTTCCTGGGGTTGTCATGACAAATCACCACAAACCAAGGGGCTTCAAACAATAGGAATTTTTCTCTCAGTTCTGGCAGCCAGAAGTCTAAGATCAAGGTGTAAGCTGGGCCACACTCCTCTGGTGGCCACTTATGTGGGTGCATTCGTGTGTGTGCATGTGTGTGGGTGCCTGTGTACGTGCGTGTGTGTAGGTGCCTGTGTGTGCATGTGTATATGTGCATGTGTGTGTGCATGAGTATGTGTGTGTTTCCATTCACAGCACAGCCACAGCCTCCAGTTATGGAGCCTGCTGACCCACATAGTGCCTGTCAATCTGTGCAGCGTCTGTTTTCCCAGCACTGAGGCTCTGTGAGGGCAGGGCCTGGTCTTCCTCTCTGCAGGATCCCAAAAGGGCCCAGGCTGGTGCTGAGTACGGAATCAGCGTGTGGCCCGTACACAACTGATCAGACCCAGGGTGCCTATAGAGACCCTCCTGCTATTCACAGATGGGGGCAGGTGGGGCTGGGTTGGGTGTTGACTCCCCTTCTGGCCAGGCCACGGCCAGCTCGAGTTCCTCCTGGGGTGCGGAATCCAGGTGCCCACAAAGACAAACGTGCAGCCGGAGAGCCAGTCCCTGATGGACAGCCCCTCAGACCTCCCCCCACCAGCCCACCGGGAAGCAGCCACTGCAGAGAGGGTGTGACCCGTGGGAGGCCGCCACCCAGCGCTCAGGAAGGCCAGCACAAAGGACAGTAGGCACTGGGAGTGAGGCTGGTGCCCTGGCGAGGGGAGGCTGGCTGCCCCAGACTCTTGAAAGCCCTGAGGCCCAGATCCTGGCAGTCCTGTGAAACAGACCCAGGGGTCAGACCCCTTTCCTTCCCACATCCCACACTCTAGGCTGCCCAGGGGAATCCCCAGGAGCCTTGGCATCCCAACCAGCCTCAGGCTGACCAGTGAGTCTACCCTGTGACAGGGCTGGAGCCCTGTTTGGGGTCTGCGAGCTGCCCACGGCTCACATCAAGTCGGCTTCCGCTGTGTCCACCAATTCAGGCTAGCTGAGCACAGGTTCTCAGGAATGCCCAAGAGCCCCATGCCAGGTGGGTCCCATTCACAGGTGGCTGTTCACCAGCCAGCAGGAAGCTGCAAAGTACCCCCAGGACGGCTAGCAGCCCAGTGAGCTGTGAGGCACACGGCAATTTGGGGCTAATTTTCTCCTGCAACGAAGTTGATCCCATAATCTGGTAAATACACTAATCATCACCGCCCTGCTCAGAGCAGGAGCTTATGAGCTACAAAGTCCGGAGGGAACAGGCTCGGCATAGAAAGAGACCACGGCCGGCCGGCTTGAAGAATGTGCTGCCAGGATATGAAACCCAAAGCTGGCAACGGACCATAAGCCGCTCCTAGTGACAGAGGACCCAGGCCACAGACCAGCTGCTGCGTTGGGCACAATGCTTCTATTGTCACAGAACCCTGCATCCACACGCCTGCCCAGGCCCGCTTGCAGATAGGAAAGCTGAGGGCCTGGAGCGGCAGGATCTGCTCGGCGTCCTGCTGCTGACCTTCCCTGGGCCAGTCTGATCCCCGGTTCCTCTGATCGTCTCTCCTTTAACAGAAGCAAAGAATGAGTCGTAATAGCCAAGGACCAAGGAGCAGCTCTTCTGTCAGCAGATGCACCAGAAAATCCGTGGCGGCCGAGGAAGCCCCATTTTGTTTAGTCTGCTCAGCACTTCTCGTACAATAATAAAAACATCTGAATTTCCAACATATATAATAGAAAGATTTCCTAGAAAATGATCTAGTCTGGCTTTGTTCAAAAAAGTTGAGAGTCCAGCTGGGCACAGTGGCTTACGCCTGTAATCCCAGCATTTTGGGAGGCTGAGGTGGGCAGATCACCTGAGGCCAGGAGACCAACCTGGCCAACATAGTGAAACCCTGTCTCTACTAAAAATACAAAAATTAGCTGCGCATGGTTGCAGGCACCTGTAATCGCAGCTACTTGGGAGGCTGAGGCAGGAGAATCACTTGAACCCGGGAGGTGGATGGTGCAGTGAGCCGAGACTGCCACTGCACTCCAGCCTGGGCAACAAG